GCAGGCCGACAGCGTCGCAAAGAACGCGGAGCGCTGTTACCTCAGTCGCCCGCATCTGAAAGTCGGCCCCCCTGTCCAAGGATCGGATGATGACCGAAGGCCCTAGGGATTCCTTCTCCATCTCCATGATTTCCCGAGAAAGCACCTCCATGAGCATCCCCCCCTGCGCGAGCTTCTTGGTTGCGGGGTCGTGATCCGCGACTGCGGCCGCGTCGACGTTGCCGCCCTTGACGGGCGCGCGGTCGAGCTTCGCGCGCGTCCCGTCTGCGAAATCCACGCCAGCGGGGATGGGCCGCTGCGGCCCGTTCAAGATCGCCCGCAGCACGAGGCGGAAATGATATTGCGAAACGGATCCATAACGCACGTCGGTCGCGCAACTGGGTTTGAAACACTGTCGGAGGAACGCCATCCTCGTTCCGGCGGCTGTAGACCGTGAGCGGTTCGAAGGCGGAGTCGTTCGGTCTTTGCTGCAAGCAGTCGCGCTGGGCGCCCCTGAACGCTGGCGCCCTCGCGGCCAGCCCCCGCCCGCGCGAAGCCCGCCGAGAGGATGCGCGCAGCAAGTTCGCGGGCCCTCTCGCCCTGAGGACGTAGGCCGCCGCGGTTGTTCGCGCGGGGTGCGATCGTTCCCGCTGAGATGCGCACTTTTTCTGCGCCCTCTATCCGGCGGCGCCGCCTGGTCGCAACTGCCCCCTGAGAGATGTCCAAGTCCGCCTCCTCCGCCGCAACTGCGGCCCCCGTTGCGGCGCCTGCCGACTGCGGCCTTCCGCCGGCACCTGGCGCGCTGCAAAGGGCGCGCAAGAGCTCGCGCACGGCTGCGCGCGCAGACGGCTGCGGATAAGATGATGATGATGGTGGTGTTTCTGAGGATGATGGGGTCGGTGCTGATGGCGGCGGCGGTTGCGAGGATGGTCACTTAGAACGGCGGAGATGGCGGCGGCGATGATGACGGTGCTGGCGATGGCGCTGCAACTCATGGAAAGCGTGGTGCTGGAGTTCGGTGCTAACGCACGTTCGCGCCGATGGCGATGCTGATAGTCGCGCTGGCGATCGGGATCATCAAGATTAGTTGCGATGGCGCTACTGGCGGACAGGGCGATCGCGGCATTTTTTTGCATGCTGAACAGCAACTGCTGCATCGCAGACACTGCGTCTGCTCAGTGCGCTCCGCGGCGACCGCGACTGCGGCTTTTGACGGCCGCGCACCCATTGCGATGTTGATGCCGCACATATCCGCAGCTGCGGCAACAAAGGTCCGCGGGGTCAACCCCCGTCGACCCTTCTGTTCCTCGATCGTCTTGCCCCTCTGGCACCTGCCCCCGGAGCGCTGTCCACTCCGGCCGCGCCCGCTGATGACCGGGCCCTGGCGGGTGCCCCGTCTGTGGCGCTCCTTCTGGGCCCCCCCCCCTGCGGGGCCAACTTCGGTCTCCCCGCGCGCCCTCCGGCGCCGCGACTGCGGTCTGGGTCGCGCCTCCACGTCGGCACGCGCGGCGTCGGCGCCCAGTGCCGCGCGACTTATTTCGCGCGACCGGTCGGGCAGCGGCGGCGGCCAGGCGCGCGCGCGGGTGCCGAGCTGCGGGTTGCACGCGCCAGCGCACGACGTAGTTCGGTTGGGCCGCGGCGGAGCGCTCCGCCAAGCGCGCGTCGAGCCGTGGCCCCGCCGAGTAGAGCGCCGCGGGTGGGCGGGGCCCGCACGCGCCGCAACTGCGGCAGTAGCCGCTGGAGACGTCGCGCTCTGCGTCGAAGAAGCCGCAGAGGAACCGCGCGTCGTGCTCGTGGATGGTTTTGATGGCATTTTGGATCCGCTGATCCGCGTCGCACCTCGCGGCCCCGACCCTCCCGCTCAAAGGCGCGGCTCAGTGCTTCGTGAACAGGGCGCAATGGGAAGTCGCGCCTGGATTCCTCGCGGCCTCCCGCAAGTCCACGTTGAGGATCCAACGGCAGCGCTGTCATCCGCCGCCCCATGTCGCAACTGCGACGTCGGAGACCCGATGGTTGCGTCGCGGCGTCGAGCCAGCGGAGACCCCGCCAGGTCCGATCAAGTCGACTGTCGTCCAAGAGTTCCCCCCCGGCACCCTTCCGGATGTGGCCCGCCTCCGCCGGGCCGCCGCGCGTCTCTTCCGCCGCGGCCCTGGCCCCCTCGCCCTGCAGCGCGGCTATGCTGGCGGGGTCGAACAGGGCGAACATAACCCCGGCCGTCTGCCAGCGAGCCCACTCGGATACATCCTGCTTCTGGGGGCAACCGGGCCGGCGGCGGCCCCGGAGGCGGCCGTGGCCCCGAATGGAGAAGAATCGAGACGCCGCAGCCTTCGCCGGCGGCCCGCGCTGCCCCCCCGCCTCTTCCTCGTGCATTTCCTCGTCTGCGCTGCATTCGGGCTCCGTCGGCGCCGGGCTCCGAAGCCGCTCGGCGCCCCGCGCGGCCCTGGCTCCGAGGCCGCTTGGCTCCGAGGCCGCGGAGACCCAGGGGCAGCTGGGCCCTGGGGCTCAGCTGCCCCTGGGTCTCGGCGGCGCGCTCTGCGCACAACTGCGCAGCGGGGCGTCTGCGCGCGGCCGCCTTGGACCGTTTCGCAGCCGCAGGCGCTGGCCTCCGCGCGCGCGACTGCGCCTCGCGAGCCCTCAGCTGCGCCCAGCGGCTCGAGCCGGGCAGCGCGGTCAGCGGCCTGCTCCTCTTCTGAAGTGCGCGCGCAAGCAGACCCCGCGTCCTCCCGCTTCTCCTCCTCCCCCTCCTCCCCCTCCTCTTTCGCGGCTGCCCTGCTGCGGTCGTTTAAGTGCCCCGCCGCGGCAGCGGGCCCCCCCGCGACTGCGGGCCCATCCTCGTCATCTGCCTCTTCCTCGACCTCCGTCTCAGACGCGCCGCGCGCCTCCGCAGCTGTGGCGTCCGCGGCCGCGTCTGCTGCCTCCTGCTGAGCGGGGGCCGCTTGCCTCCTCGTCAGCTTCGCCTTCAGCACCTTCAGCCTCTGCAGGTTGACCTGGGCAGGTTGACTTCAGCTCCTGCAGGCTGACCATCGGCGCCATCGGCTCCTGCCGCCCCTCGGGCTGGCCCGCGTTTCGAGGGGCGCAAGCGCGATCTTCCAACTCGCCTCGCAAGAACTTCAGGGCCGCGGTGCGTTGCCTGCACATAGTTGCCGTTCCAATGTTCACCGGCCTTTTCGAAGTGCTCGAGCTCGTGCGCGGCGGGCGCCGCTGCCTCCACGACTGGGGGCTCTGCGACTGGCGCGACTGCACCTTTCCTTCTTTGCCAGGTGCAACTACGCCCCCCCCTTTGCCGCCCTCGCGGGGCGCCGCCGGTGATTGCGCCATCTCCTCAGAGGCAGACGGTGGAGCGGCTTTCGCGCGCGCCACTGCCGTCGGCCGCGGGCCCCGCGCGCGCCCCGCGGAACCGCTGGTTCCGCGCGGACAGTTCGCCTCGCCATCCGCTACTGCGGCTGCAAATCCACTCGCCACCCCGCCCGCTCGAGCAGCTTCCCATCCGCTCCACCGCTTGCCTCCCCATCCGCTCTCTTCTTCGCCGTTCCGGCGGCCGCCTGCCCACTCGTCGCGCTGTTCTCCGTCATTGTGGCCATTCTGACCTCCGCCGTCATCTTGGCGGCCGCCGTCCTGTCCGCCACTGCGGCCTCGACGA